TTCGACAGTAATTTGAACGCATGTACGAATTGTGGGGTGGAAAATTGTGCATGTAGTTTCGAATTTCTCCGATCTTACCAAACGTGGAAAGCGATGTTCATTGATAAATTTTGGTATTGTAATTGTGTACGACTGTCAACCGTTGGTTGAGGTTATTCAGTTTAATCTGATTTTATTTATTTTGTTGCCTGCCAGTGAGAAGATACAGTATGCAGTAATCACCCTGCTCCTTTGTGGCAGTTCAGCAACGAATAACTGACAAATCAGTGTTGTTTTTACAGCAAAGTTAAAGTTTAAAAATCTTTCGTTTCAGTGCACAAATCCTTTTTCCTCATGTCTTGGTCTCTGCGCTTTTAAGGGTCATGGATACGTTATATAACTGACGTAATACTTTGTGAATTACACCCATTTAAAACTGACCTGTTGAAAGATATGTTCCTGTTTCTTGTGATCATCACCCGTGAACAATTTAATTAGCAAAATGTGATGTCACTGCATTATTAATTGTTCAGCGCTTTTTCCATAGAAATAGTTGCAGTTTTGCAGAAGAATCATCTCCTCTGTGATAGCGGATTTTCCTCTTTTAGTCTCAATCTTTCATGATGGTTTCCTGCTCGGTATCTACGTGACAATCACACATGTTGAAAAGAAGAACGTATACACACAGTTATCCTGACCGGATTAGACTAAATCATTCGTATATTATTATTCTTGAAATGTGCTCTTAGCCCCTCCAAAATCAGATTTTCGTAGCCTGATGCACTCATTTCTCCCTTGCTCTTTTTTTGCTCATGATCGGATTCCAGCGGGACACGGTTGCATGATATTTGTGCATTTGCAGTGCTGCATGCAACTCACTTTGTTTTATTCGGTACGTCAATCTTTTCAACATCACGAGCCAGGCTGCATGGATTTGCATTCCTTATTTGAGTTGGTATATCAGAGTGTGTAAATTGGCACGTGGCGTCTATGAGACTAGATTTTACGACGTATTGCACCGTTCCTTTGTTCTTAGCCTAAAGTGACCATTCAAGTAAGAACGGCACCATGGGATTTCAAAATAATCTGTGGTGCTTGATGCTAGATGAAAAGCGGTTTCAAAGACGTCAAGCCGCGTTTAGCACGCGTACGAACGCGTATTTTTGGATTCTTGACATATCATTAAAATCGGAAGTGTAATTTTTTATGCAGTAATTCAATTCAAAGTTCGACAAGTCCTTTACGATATTTTACTGCACATCCAATTTATTGTGTACGTGTTCTCCAACGTTTCAGATTATGCTCGATACGCTTCCTGTGCGAAGCATCAAACAGAATGTTATTATAGCTTAATATTAACAGTTGTTTTAAAAATGATCGAGATAGTCCTCTCCGTAATACTTCTTTTTCTGAAGACGGATCGAGCATAATCCGAAATGTTTGAGAATGTGCATATAATAAATTTTATGTGGTTTCATGCCGTAAAAGAATTTTCGAATTCTTGAAACATTAACAATAATAAATAAGCAATACTTTAAAACTTAAAAGCATTACTAAGCTATTTTTACTAGATCATTAAAATGCTCATTTGGTCTTATTTTCTCTTGTCCCAGTTGGTCTGAAACACGAGTTTTTACATATTATTTATAATCTGTTGTATTTTCGCTTTTTCCTCATCATCCGTCACTGTTAAAACTGGCCTTCAGTAATGTTTGTTTTTAGATATCCGTGATTGACGTGGCATTTTTTAAATTTATACTTTTTTAAAAGTTAGGTTTGACGCTACGCTTATATTCTGACCTTTTCAGCTGTCTAAAAACCGATATTGCTGCTGATCAGGCAATGGACGAAATGTGCCCTATTTGTTTGAAGCAGACCCTGACCGTTTCCCCAGCGATTCGCCTTTCTTGCGGTCACGTCGTTCATTACAAGTGCTGCACGAGTTCGCTGGAACAGCGATGGCGTGGTCCGAGGATATCATTTGGTTTTATTTTTTGTCCCATTTGTCATGCAGCTTTCGATCATCCGTTGCTGAAGAACTTGCTGAAACCTCTGCTGAGGCTTAAAGACGATCTTGAAGAAAGGGCATTAAAACAGCTCGAATACGACGACTCGATCGACCGCTCAGAAATCACTACACCCGGTGGCAAATATTACAACAGACCTGCCAACTTTGCCGTCGACAAATATGTGTATTTCCAGTGTCATAATTGCTTTAAGCCGTATTTCGTCGGTGACGCAGTTTGCCAGCTCCTGGAATCTCTGAATTCCATGCATGATTTCGACCCCGAGGAGTGCCTCTGCGGCGGCTGTTCCAATGTCATCGGAGCAAGCCGATGCATTCAACATGGCACCGATTGTTTGCAGTATAAATGTCGGTTCTGTTGCTCGATGGCGGCTTACTTCTTTGACGGCTCGATCCACTGCTGCATTTCCTGCCGTGAAATCGTTTATGCTTTAGTTAAGCTTAAGCCAGGAGATTTAAGACAGTGTCCTACCGATTCCAGAAACCGAATCATTCCTTTCTGCCCACTTCAGATTCCCCATTCACCTAGCGGCGTCGAGTTTTGTTTCCGTTGTTCTGACTGTAATTATTGTTTGTGATATTAATATTAATATCGATTGAGTTATTTGCTGGTCATTTTTATTCGAGTTCATTGCGCTTCAAAAGCAGTCTAACTGCGCTGACTGGCTTTCTAAATCAGTGCAATTTTCTCCCCATTCCCCGGTGCCGGACTCGAATTTTGTTCGTTGTTCCGATCGTGATTAGTATGAAACTTGTCATCCGTATGCTTTTCTATCGCGCTTTCTATAGCAATGTTACTTTTTTGATAGAGTTGTTAAATCGCTACAAGTTTTTGTTTACTCCCCGATGACCGGCCTAATTTATATTTTCATCCGGCCGTGTATTTACTTTTATCTTCAAGCTTCATAAATTTGTACAACTTTGTTACTCAAGTTTTGTTTATCCGATGATGATGGCCACCTTCCGAGTTTATTTTTGATATTTTCTTTTTCGAATACCGTTGAACATGGATGCACTATATGTTTTCTATTTCTAAGCGGTATTTTATTTTACCTGATACGAATAATTGCTGCTTGATTTTCGTGTAAATTTGCGTCAGATCATAAACGTGACGACAGCTCTGAAATCTGATTGATCGATCGCAATTGTTCCGTTTCGTGATTCTTTGTGCGACATTATTTAATGCAGCGCACTTTACGGCCGGTAATTTGAATTTTGCAGCAATTACAAAATGACGATTCTGTTCACTTGTGGTTGCAATGAACCTCAGTAAGTAGTACCTTGAAAATCGTTTGCGATGAATCTACTTCTACGCTTTTAGCGCTTTGTAAATCAGATTCTTGCAGTCAGTTGACGATTCGCTTCGATCATTTTAAACAGGTTTCGAACTGGATTCTCGTGTATTGATAATATCGCCGTATTAAAGAAGACAATCGAACTTGGAACTACGCTGGCGTGTGATACTCCTCGATTTCCGAGCTTTCGACTCGGTACACCATTGGTCTTTGTGACACATACTCCAACACGCTGGATTACCGAAGATCATTGATCTCCTGAAGGAACTGTGCGAAATTACTAAATGCGTCATCGGAACAGAAAGTCGTTTTCGGATTAATTTATCAGTAACAGTTGAGTACGGCAACTTGACCGCTTTTACCATTATTATTGAGCATTGTACCCAACAGTACTCATAACAGATTTCTAGTACCCTGATGACATGGCACTGCTGAAGGACTCCGCCAATGCCTTACTGACACTAACCGTAGATATGTGCAGTATGGCTTCGGAAGTGGGCCTACAAATTCGCCCCAACAAAATAATCATGCGAGTACTTGACTCATTGCTCAAAGATTTAATGCAGTGGAGCGACGATCGAGGAAGTTAAAAACTTCCAAGTTCCTTAGGTTTTTGCTGGCATGAGATAAAAGCTGCGATATGAAAATAAAGCGGTGCTTAGGGCTGACTTCTCTGAACTTCAGACGACTTTTTAAAGTGTGAGAAGACCGATCTATCGGGACAGGAACACTGGTCACCATTCCGAAAGTTGCTATCTCAATGCTTGTGCAAGCCTCGAAATATCCACCCGTTTAAACCGCGAATAAAATTTGTAGGATGATTCCATCGAATGATGAATGAAAAGATCTTACGGATGAGATCTGAGAATGCTTTCTTAGAAAATCAGGTTCCGGTGCCTGTCGAGGTTTGACAATTATCTGAAGAGAGGTTGGAAACCTATCGAAAACCATTCTCCGCAAAAGGTAAAAGCAAAAATGGCTGAAGACACGTTGGAGGCGTGCATTGCGCCCTAAAGCAACTGCTATGAGCTGCCTTTTTTCCGATGAAGAATGTAGCCTTGGCTACAGCAGTCAACATCGTCTAAACCAGTCTGAGAAACCAGCGCTTCGGACATCATTAATCTGGGAACTCTGGCTTTGGTCCCGGTACCTGTGATGGTAATGACAACAATAAGCCTGGGTCATGGTACTTGGAATGGAAGTTTTGCGATCAGTGTGTGCTCTCAGTGCTAATCTGTGGATGCGATACGGGGACTGTAAACCTGAAACATAATTATAAGCTGCAGATACTCAGCGCTGCGTGAAAAGATGTATGTTTGGGATGACAATAAAAGGTGGGAAGAGGAATGAATGGATAAAAGCACATGCTAGTCTGCGATCTTTTT